AGATGCTAGATGCTAGATGATCAACCTTTTCTGATCGATTCCACAACATTTCTTTCACAATGCAATCGCATGACCATAACTGGTCTTTACCTTTAAATAAGTATAATAATCAGTATCAATAGCATAGGCAAGTTTGACGCTTTTTTTACTCTGATCGTACATGATAGTATGTTTGTTTTTTCTGTTCTTTTGTTCTTGTTTCTTTTTTTCCAAGTTCATGGTGACTTGGGAGTATATTACATCATTTCATGACAGGTTGAATTGAGAAAAGGACTTTATTAGAATCCTTGGAATGTGAAACTAACTTCTGCAGTGAAAACTGAATGCAAGATTTCATGTATTTGTGTTTGTGCTTTTCATTTTTTATATGGTTGGATACATTCCAATCTCATGAATTGGTAGCATAACACCATAATCACAGCTAATAAATGTATACATGTTTCTCTCTTTAACCCCCCCCCCCCCCTATTTCTAACTTAACTACTTTTTTGTATCAAATTCATCTCCTATGCATCTACAGTACATGTACAGTATATATAGAATTCTTCATAGTTGTAACTACTTTAATGTATCTCTGACAAAGCTTCTGGCAAGCATTTTAAGCATTCATGAAGCATGCAAAATTAAGTAAACAGGGTTCATATTCATAAAACCTTATTACCAGTAGGCCGAACTGTCGACTAACTCTGTACCATAGCCTATGAAATTAGAACTTGAATTACAATGTACTACCTTGGTAATGTTTTATGAATATGGATCCATGTCTACTGCAGGTCCATTGATAACAGGTAAAAACAATCAGAATTAGGGGTAATTGCGCAAGCGCCAGTGACTACCTAAAATCCTGTCTGACGATCTTAACGTCATCTCTTTCTCTTTGTTCCTACATGTAGGTGACTAGTGATGAACATATTTTAACAGAAATATCACTCTTTTGTTTCATACAAACTCCAACAAGTCATTCTATCCTTAATGCTGGATCTCTGTCATATCAACTGAAACACAGTGAACAAAACTGTGAGAATAAATCCTGACATGGCACTAATTTCTTTCGGTGAGACATTAATCTACATACATGTATGCCACTCCATACTCAGGAGGAAAATGGAGATCTTGTAGGATGATGAAAGCCTATGCGATAGACACTGCCATGCCCTCACAGTGACTATTAGAGAGTACATATATGGTAGGAATACTCCCCAGGAAGTAAATCAAGATGGTCCACATTAGGTGGTGTCACACAGAGGCCCAAAATCTGGATTTTAGTTATCCAGATTTTAGTTATCCTCTTAATTGCTGTCTGTCATCAATCATCCCATTAAAAATTCTCTAACGAAGCAAGAAAATTCCCCCTTGAAAGGATTTTTCAAGGGATTTTTTCAAGGGATTTTTCTGTGTGACACCACCTATTGTGCGTGAATGAATCCAATGACTGGGGTAATATAATATCTGTAAAACACTTAGAGATGGTATTCCATATTAAGCGCTATATAAATCCAGATCATTATATGAAAAGAACATTGGTAGTCAGGCAATACTGACCATATTATATCTCCTTATAATTCTAGATTTTGCAATGAAGAAATCACACACAACAAATTCCACAAGAGTATGAACAGGTATCTTTTGACTTGATGATGCTATATTGATCACCCTCAAATCCCCAACACATTCACCTTATACCAACACCCAACAACAAACAAGGGATTGCCTTCCACTCAATCAACTACAAATATCTTGCTTTTTACATCATGATTTTCACATAAGGCCCATTTACACTAAAGAAAAACCATGTTTGCTAACTCTAGTTTTCAATGAGCAGTGCATGTGCATTACTTGTCGCTGCTCTGCACGTGATAGCACAGAAATGAGAAAAGCCACATGAGCAGAAAGCAGACTAATTCACCAGTGATCGAGACCAAGCATGTACACTGCAAAAACTGGTGGAGTTTCAACCACAGTTTCAAACCCTACACTCCAGAGTTGGGATTTGCAACTCAGGTTTTTTGTCATGTTCAATATAAAGCTACATGTAGTTGGCTAGCAACTTCCAACGAAACTCTGAATGTAAAGAAAAACACCAAAGTTTTTGCTTCAGTGTAAATGCCCCTGTAAACCAGGAAAGCTACAACTACAAAAAGCTTTTGACACCAACAAGGTAACAAGTGTGTTTAAAGCAACCATTATCTAAAGCTGTGATAAGTGTTTAGTCTATACCCAAACAATCGTGCAAACTCAAAGCTCCCTTTTTGGTGCGAGGTCCATGTGTTTGCAGAGATTCTTTGCGGAAGTGACAGAGCGTGCAGAGTTTGGTCCGACTTTGAATAAGGCAACAAAGCTAGGCATGTCATGGGCATCAATGTGTATGATTTCATACCCATTTACAATTCTGTAGTAATCTGGGGGATGTTTCACAGAGATCCTATGTTGAACTTATCTCTAAGTTGGACTTAACAATTATAGAAAGCCGTTAGCATCCTTGAAAATATTTTGTAAAAGTTATTTTAAAAGGCATAACATGTTGATTCAAATCATTCATATTTTCTATTATCATGGGAGATTTCATGTTCTTGATGTGGAATTTATGATAAGTCTAAAATACTTGAATTTTCGCTTTTGAATATATTTCATTATAAGGCTACATATGGCTCTCCATAATATTTAAGTCAAACTGAGAGTTAAGTTTGACTTAGAATCTTTGTGAAACACCCCCCTGGAATACTGTTGGACAAGGATCTACAATCTACATGCATGGGAAGTGGTACGCATTCATGTCTTAATAATACACCAATCATTCACCAAAGTTTCCAAGAGCTCACTTGTGTTTTTTCTATCGGACAGTTTCATATTTAACACAGCGTTCGTATCAAGGCTCTGTCTGTTCTCAAGATACCTTCTTCTACTGATTTCAAGTTTCAAGTTAAAATTAAGAGATTACATTTTATGTGTAATTTAATGAATTCCGATTGGATCTGAAAGGGAGGGGGCATGGATCAGTTACCCTTACCCCTGATGAACTCTGTATACAGGGAAAAAAATGCACGGGTGCTTGGGGCGAATTAGCCCCCGAACGTCTTAAAGGTACTATGTCCCTTTTGCAGCCAACCTCAAATGCTGTAGAACTTTGCAGGATTTATGAATATGTCATGTATGTCCTATCTGTGAAATTTAAACGTTAGCAGTGTCCTCATATTCAAATTATGCAAGGAAACCCGTTTACTTACTAGACTTCACTGTCAGACACTATTGAGTGACTGACTGGCTTTTTTTCTTCTTTGGTAATAACATACATGAAAAGAGTTGTAAAGGGTACATTCATGAGCATTTGTCTGCATCAATAACCCACTTATTGTGATGGCCAAGATTAAACTGATTGAATCTTTGCGCAGCATAAAACATATGACATTCGGTACAATTGTCTGAAAATCAAGACTATTACTTTTGGGCTCTATAGCCCTAAAGTCGATTTGACAACTAATAGTCGTTATTTTCCCACTTGAAGACATTTTCAAGCCCCACCTTTTTTAGGGAAGTTCTAAATTAGTATTATGTTTCAAATGCAGTTGGAATTTAACTTTTTCATTTTTTTGGCCTGCAAATGGGACAGAGTACCTTTAAAAGAGCCCCCCAATCTTGCACAGAGTTCAATGCAAAACAAATTAAAGAGTGTTATATTCATGCAAGCAAGCTTGAAAAATAGCCCCCGACATTGTTTTTTTCCCTGCCTGTATAATATTCACTTATTAGGGAGAACACAATATTCATAAGTTATGTACTTGACTTCACAGTTGACACTTCTAAATATTTTTTTTAAGAGATTCTATTTCCTCTATTAATGGAAACCATTTCCTCATTGCCAGCTTTGTCATTTGTTACTTTTAATTTTGAAACAATTTTGTTTGGACCGTGGGGCATTACGAGTTGTGTACAGCTTGAACTAAACAATGTTTAAAAAATTAAAAATATGCCTGAATGCGGAAATGCAATCTGTCAAAATTTGAATTTTCATTGTTTTCACAATCTTAGTAGATCTAATATAGTCAAGTTACTAAAGACATGAAACTAAAATCCATTTGTAAAAAAATTCAACCTGCAATAGTTTTGAACATCATCTGTAATATATTTGTAGGCTAGAAAGTAGGAAACTTCATTTCATTTTCCATGTAGATATTTATAATTTTGCAAATACAGTTTGCAAACAAAAACAAAAATAGGTCTAAGAAAAATAATTAACATAATAACAATAGACAATAATACCATCGTTTTTACAAACAGATGAGTGCACTGCATCAGTAAAGTGATTCACAAAACGTTTTAAAAATTGACTATTTGAAATAGTATTTCAATTTTCAACATGTACAGTACATAAGAGCAATACTTCAAGAGTTTAGGTCAGAACTTCTGACTAAATTTAACATTAATGTTCTGTATGCTGTAAATCTGGTAAATAGCAGTAGCATGTTAACAGCATCTCATGATCTCAACAATCTCATCGTAACTTTGTATTGGAGCTCAATATACATGACATATTATTATATGCAAAGGTTAGCATTGCAAGAGAATGAGCAACTTTGTGTTGACTAGTACCAAACATTTCCAGTTCATTGGGTCGGCACAAATCATCGGCTAGCGTTTGATTGTACGCCATTGTCCTCTATTCTTTTGAACTGTCGAGACGACACCGTTATTACCATTGTTACCCATTCAATCACTGATCGCCCGCAAAAAGGAGTTATTCAGGTCTAAATAAGCCACATTTGGTACTGTGTACATACGTAGCATACCAATAACATTTAGCACAGCATTCCAAGACGGCCACGGTTAGATGCCCCGTGACAAACGGCGCGCGATCATTCTCAATTTGGATGCGATCCCTTAACAATACTTCAACATTTTTCATCTTTTAAAAGCACAATTACAAAACTGAGGTCAATCAAGGGTATACATAACTATAATTTACCCTGGGGTAGGTTTGAAAGCAAAATCAAGAATTGACTTACCTAAAAATTAAGCAGAGAAGTTACCCTTCCAATTCCGACCCTACACTAAATTCCTGCACTTATCGTCGAGATACGCTGTACATCACACGGGGTGGAAGGTATGTATGTATGCGATGTACACGGGTAAACACGGCGTACCAAAACTATACCAAAGAACTTTACTAGTCATGTGATCAAAGAGCCAGCGCTCCATTGGTCAAATTAGTTTGCAATCACTGCGCTCTTCTGGGCTTTGCTCATCCTCCCTGGGAGATACAAGAATAGCCACGCCCACGTCACAGAACTCGATGTGTTGGTATACTAAGTCTTGCATGTTTAGAAAATGGACTCAATAAAGAAATGAAATGAAATGAAATGAAAAACTGAAAATAATAATGGTTTATTCTTATTATGTGGATTAAGGGGTACCTATTTAAAGTCTTGGTGTATGCATCGATAATATGTTCAAATTGACCTCTCATGCAAACCAAGTAGTCCGTAATAGTAATTTTCATCTCCGCAATTTATGGAGGATTCGCAGATTTATTGATTTAAAGACATGTCACCATGCTGTCCGAGCTCTTATTATTTCTAGATTGGATTACTGCAATAGTCTTTATACTGTTTTATCTGCTAAAGATAGAAGGAAACTTGAAACTGTCCAGAATCGTGCCGCTAGATTAATTTTTGGCCTTGGGTCAAGAACTCATACTTCACCTTTACTTAAGGAGCTCCACTGGTTACCTCTTCACCAACGTGTTCTGTTTAAATTCTGTTTGTATGCTTTTAAAATACTCAATCATCTGGCACCTGAATATCTTAATGACACCCTCCAAATATATACACCAACTCGTAATCTTCGTTCAGCAACCGACACATGTAAACTTAACATTCCCAAATCTAGACTCTCAGTAGCTGAAAAACGCTTTGCAGTAGCTGCATCAAAGACATGAAACAGCATCCCTCTTTCCATAAGGAAAATTACCTGTCTTGCCACCTTCAAAAGATCCCTCAAAACTCACCTTTTCCCCCAATGATCTATGTGATATACTTCCTGTACTGTACTTTCTTGTCCTCTTTACATTTGTAAGCGCTATGGTACTTATTGTTTTTAGCGCTCCTAAATATTCGATATTATTATTATTATTATTATTATTATAGGAGTACTGAATGTTAGACTCGTTGGTTGAATTGCAAATAGTGCCTAGGTCAACAAATGACTTTGAAAGCTCTTACAAAACGCACCGACAAGTATAGCTCGTTATAATAGCCCCGGCATAGCCCTTTATTTTATAAGTTTTTAGAGCTTTATTCTGACCAAATTGGGGAATATATTACCTTAATCCCAAATGCCATTTCGTGTTAGTGCATCTAGGTATTGTAATTGGCAAGCCATATTAATTTCCTTAACAAAATCGTCATTAATATAACATTGATGATAACAATTATAGAACAAATGAAAAAAGAAGAATGATGATGATAATAATAATAATTATCATTATTATAACAAAAAATGATAAGAAGAAAAAGAAGAAGAGTACTACTAATACTAGGCCTACTACTACTACTGCTACTACTACTACTACTACTACTACTACTGCTACTACTACTACTACTACTACTACTAATACTACTACTACTACTACTACTACTACTACTACTACTACTACTACTAATAATAATAATAATAATGATAATAATAATGATAATAGTAATAAAATAACATGAATAACTGTAATGGAAAGAATTATATTCTCAATGATAATGATGATGATCCTGATGACGCTGATGATATTGATGATATTAATATTTTATGGAATAAATTAGAGTTTGCAAAGCACTTCTCTTGCACATGGCCAAAATCCAAACAGACTAGATGGCGTTTTTAACCAGACATTTAAGCTCCCTGTTCCTGATATATTTCATTTCAACCGGTCTTCGTTTAACAGGATAGACTGGACAGGGCAAAACAAAGCTATGGCCTCACAATAAAGGCTTATTTTGTAAACATTAATTTCATAGCCCATATGCTGCAATAATTGAGGAAATGGAAAAGTGTGAGATTTGTATATACATGTTTTATTAATATTCCATAAGTTTATGTCAGGATAGCTTATTGTAATGCCATTTTTTCCTTTCCCCTTCCACACCAACTTTCAGCCGTAAGGCAGTGTCGATTTTATAGGTGTCGTGGTAACACAAAAGCCCCCCCCCCCCCCCCCCCTCCTGCCGCTCGCCCTCCCGAAAATTCTTGATTTTCAATGGATTTAACCCAAAAAAGGACGGGATATTAGAGGTCTTAGTACGGCCGGGGGCCATTATGCCCCCCCCCCCCCCCCCCCCCCCCCCCCCCCCCCCTCGGCCGTGAAAATGCCGACCTTCGCGAAAATGTGCACGCATGTCAAGTGAAGTGTCTAGAATAATATGATAATTTCAATTTTTTGAACGATTCACTAATTTGCATATTTAGGGTAATTTATGCAAATAAGGTCATAAAATCAATACCAATTACATTATACAT